CCTGAGACAAGAATGTAAAGATCTGTGGGAGCTTCGTTCTGTAAAATCACATCTTCTCTAGGTGGGAAATACTCGGCATCTATATCTGAAACCTTGGTAGGAAAAAGAAAAATCGAGTTGGTAATATAACAAAAACATAAGAAAAAAGATTTGAACAAGAAGGAGTTTTAACAAAAATGTAAGTATTTTTACCAACTGAAAGAGGAAGTTGCGAGAAACTCCTTGAAAGAGGTAAACATTCTGAACAATCGGGAAGAAGAGATAGTTTGCGATGCTTGACCGTATCGCTTTAGGCAAACCATTCAAGGTCTCCTGTTGTTTCAGGCCTTCTGTTTTGAACTTTAAGCAAATGTGTGACAACATTTGGTCTTGTATGTTTGGTGGTAGTTGGTTTCTTGATGCAAACTCTGAAGCAGCTCTCACTGTATCTCTCTGTTGAAATTTCAAAAGAAACCATCTTTCTTTATTATTTTTTACTCAGACGGTTCTTATACTTTATATTGTAAAAGTGATCAAGAACTTACAAAAGTTCTTGTGCGGCTAGTCCAGTGAACAACAAGGTTGGTCATGTTTCCAATGAGGTAAGATGTGAAACCAAGGTTGAAGAGCATGTAAAAGACATCGAACAACATTTCTCTTGGATTCTCAGCATGTAAGTCTCCGTATCCTGTTGTTGATAACGTCGTGATTGACCAGTAAATAGCAGTCACATATCTACTCCATAGACTTGCCTCCTTGAAGTTTGGGTACACTGCTCCGATCCATGTTTTGCTTGGATCTGGATATCGATCTGCGATGAGGTAGTTGAAGCATCCAGCACAATGTACTGCAAACAGTGTGACCTGATATACACAACAAAATTATACGTTGTAACTTGTAAATTGCTTATATAAATGAAAAGAAGCTTTTTTCCTCTGTTTTTACTCTGTTTTCCTCTGTTTTTGGGACTTACCGAAATGAGTTTCGTGCAACGTGTCCAGAAATAGTTGAAGCGGATATCTTTCTCAAGCCTGAAGCAAAATGAGAATGAGGGAGTGAGAGAGAGAGAGAGAGAGAGTAAGCACGAGGCTGATCTTTCAAATGGTAACTGTCCTACACTTAGAGAGAAAAACTTGTTTGTTTATGTCTTTACGATTAAGTAATGAAAAAGAACCTTGCAAAAAGCGAGCTAACTCGTCGGAGACGCCAGAGCCTGAGCATACTAAGAAATCTGAATGCTATTTCACTTCCATTGTAGTTTAAAAGAAGACTCAGTGACTGAAACGGAGCTGTGGAGCAGACATCAAAGGCGAACCAAGTAGAGAGGTACCTGAAAAATGTTTCATGTCCCAAAAAAAAACATAACATATCATGAAATTTGCTTTCTTTTAGAACGCAAAAGCTGTAGTTTTTTACTAACCTTATAGCTATTTTTTTAGGGCTGTCGACTAGAAGATAAGAATGGCTGTCAAGATAAGCAACGAAGAAGGTGAGAATGATATCAATGGCGAAGAAGCCATTGACAATGTTGTCTATGATGAAAAGAGCATCTTTCTTCTTGTAGGTGATGAAGGCAAACTCAAAAGGACAAATCCAAGCTGAATATATCACAAGAATGACCAACCACATCTCCCATGCCCTGAGTTCAACATTAACACAACAACTCAAGAAGACAACAAAAAACAAAAAACAGAACCGGAAGAAAGAGCTGTGAAGATATAATAAAACACCTGAAACGTGGATCAAAAGGAGAAATTATGTGTTTACGAAGCTTTGTTGATTGGTTAATTCTTGCTCCAAGAGATGGCAAGAGGTCAGCAGAGAGGAAGCTGCTGTGTTTCATTGTGTCCATATTGATTTCTTCGACGCAGAATCTTTGGAAGAAGTTTCTTGTGCAAGAAATTGACATTTTTCTTGTTTTGACGTTTTAAGGGCTTCTTCTTCCTCTTCACCAAAACCGCTTCAACTTCAAACACATCGCCCAAACTTCATTCCTCTTCTTCTCTCTTTTCCCAGGTCTCTCTCTCTCTTCTGTTCAGTAAATTTAAATACGAATCTGAAATTCTCAGTTATATAAGTTTGTTTCTTGTGGAGGGTCGAGTTTAGTTTATCGTTTTCTTCTACTTCGATGTGATTTGGACTTGGCTTCATCTGAAAGTGCGATTTTGTGTGTGTGTGTGTGTGTGTGTGTGTGTGTGTGTGTGTGTGTGTGTGTGCTGTGTTTAGAAAACTGGGTTTCAGGGAGTTTCGTTGGAAGACTCGAAGAGGAGTGTATCAGAGATCTTCGCTGTCTCCGAGAGAAAGATCGGAGGGTTAAATGGGTCGAGAAGATTCGAAATCAAAGCGAGAACAGCAGCTTCCAAGACAATAGAGGTTGAAGTAGACAAGCCTCTTGGTCTGACTCTAGGACAAAAGCAAGGCGGTGGAGTTGTCATCACTGTGAGTTTTTTCACTACCTCTCCAGTGGAGAGTGGCATTCTTGTAGATCTAAGTTGTTTGATAAATAAAAATTGAGAGGGTTTTGTTTTGTTGTTCAGGGTATTGAAGGAGGTGGGAACGCAGCAAAAGCAGGGCTTAAAACTGGGGATCAAGTTGTGTACACAAGCAGCTTCTTTGGAGATGAGCTTTGGCCTGCAGATAAGCTAGGCTTTACTAAAACCGCAATTCAGGCTAAACCTGATTCTGTCTACTTTGTTGTTAGCAGGTGATTCTGTGTATGTTTGCCTCTCTTGATTTGCTTTAGGTGGTGATATTACTAGAAATGTGGCCTCTCTGCTCTTTGAAGAAGCTAGATTTTGACTGAAATGATCCTATAGGGCTTTATCAAAAAATAGCATGGTCTAATGGTATGGTTGATAAGTCTTGTTGATGCGCCAAATGTAGGTTTAGTTCCCTTCCTATATTATCACGTTAAGCTTCACATGCTTTACAAATTAGTACCTGAGGTTTATTAGTTAGCATTGGGCTCACTTACCTTCACAGTCATGGCAACTATGTAAATATATCTTTTGCGGTTCTTGATTGGTTTCTGATGAAACTTATGATCTTTGGATAAACACAGAGGTGCAGATGTTGATGTCAAGAAACTAAATAAGCGCCCGGCTCCTCCCCGGTTCGGGAGGAAGTTAACCGAGACTCAGAAGGTTAGCATTTTAATCTGCTCTTTTCTTAAGATTGGAATGTTGTATCATATAACCATTTTTACAAAGCTTAATTAACATCATCATTTTCTTTCGCAGACAAGAGCTACTCACATTTGTCTTGATTGTGGATTCATTTACACTTTACCTAAACCTTTTGATGAACAGGTCAGTCTCGGTCCTTCACTTTTGTCCCAACCATCTCTAGATTTCAGATTTTATAACCAAGTTTTTTACTGGGGGTTTATGCAGCCGGATACATACGTATGTCCTCAATGTATAGCACCGAAGAAGAGGTTTGCGAGGTACGACGTGAACACAGGGAAAGCCATAGGAGGAGGATTGCCTCCGATCGGTGTCATTGTTGGCTTATTGGCCGGTCTTGGCGCTGTTGGTGCTTTGCTTGTATATGGTCTTCAATAACAACAATCTTCCACACACTCCTTTTATAATCTCATTCAAACAACTCCTTAAGTAAGCTTTTGTAATTTGTAAACTGAGAATGTAATGGTGATGATACAAATTTACTTCAACTTGAGTGTTGTTGTTACGTTTTTGGTCATGAGATTAATTTGAGATTTTGATGGAGTTTTCCTTGATATTTATTTTGACATAAATTTCATTTATTATTGGGCTGTAATTCCACGTGCGATACGCGTAAACCACACAAGTGCCACGTGCTTCTCTCTCCTTTCATCCTCCACCTTTATTTTTGTACCAACTCACAAAGCAAAGACTTAAAAACTTGCTCACGAAGAAAAAAATCAATCGAAATCAAAATTCTTCTCCCAGAATCGGAGGCACCGGTACCGACTCAGATCTAACTCTTCTTCACGATTCTCCGATCCAGATCGAAATCTCACAATGGCTCTCGAATGGGTTGTGTTGGGCTACGCGGCGGCGGCTGAAGCGATTATGGTCATCCTCTTGACGATGCCGGGACTCGACGCTCTCCGCAACGGACTGGTCTCCGTCACTCGTAATCTCCTGAAACCGTTTCTCTCGATCATCCCCTTCTGTCTCTTCCTGCTGATGGATATCTACTGGAAGTACGAGACCCGACCTTCCTGCGACGGCGATTCATGTACTCCTTCCGAGCACCTCCGTCACCAGAAGTCCATCATGAAATCCCAGCGCAACGCGCTCCTCATCGCGTCTGCTCTCGTTTTCTACTGGATTCTCTACTCCGTCACCAACCTGGTCGTCAGGATCGAGCACCTTAACCAGCGTGTCCAGAGGCTCAAGAACAAGGATTAAGCCTCGCTTCGCCGTCTCGAGTCCTTCTTCTTCAGTGTTTGCTGTGTTGAGCTCTTTGAGTTCGTTGAAATTGAAAAGAGTCTCTTTCTTATGTTGTTAGGCTTTTGGTGTTTCTCTCTGCTTTTTTTTCTTCAGTGTTTGCTTCTTCCCTCTCTGCTCTTTGTGTTCTGCAGATTAAAAGGATCTTATGCTACTTCAATATATGCCTATATGTTCTTATATCTTTCTTCAATCCAGTGTTTTTGTTACCCATTTGGATTTTTGCTCCTATTCTTGGTTGATATAATGCATCTGATGTGTGACCGAATCTGTTTGCAGATATCTGTATAAATTACCCAAGCATTTGTTTTTCAGCTGATACAAAGAGCACTTGACTGTAATCTATAAATTCGGATTAAACACTTCTCTTCTTAAAAAAATGAGAGCAAAATCCATTTTGTTTTTTTTTTCTAAGGGATGGATTTTTTTTTTTTACCATCACCGTGAGAAAGCAGTAAATAACAACAATCAATCATCATCCCTAATACTTCTTGAAACAACTAAGAAGTGAATCAAAGAAATTCCCATGAACATTCTTGCAGGAAGCGAACACCTTGTGACCTGATGTAGCTGAAACCATATCAACATGGTCCATCACAATATCCGCACATCCCAAGTTCTCATCGCAGTTCAATGTGATGGCCTCATCGCTCGCAGACGAACCGCGGATTCTAGAGTAACGCACATCGCTTACTTTCACGCCTTTGCCGTTACCGGACTGACTCTTTGTCTCTACAAACGACGACCGACTTAAATGACAACCTTGATATCTATTGTATGCTTCTTCAAAGTTTAGTATTCCCTTGCCATAGTTGTGGTAGTTCTGTTCGATGATAATAGGGTTCCCTGAAGCTACCATGTTGATATCCTCGAATGATATTTTCCTAGCATATCCTGATCCGCCCTATAAAAATAAAATAACCGATATAGATTTAGTAAATATGGTGGATAATTTAAGATCAATAAGTAATGATAGAATTGGACAAACCTGGAATGTCTTGATTCGGACACCGTTCATAGTGTTGGTCAAAGTACAGTTCTTTACTCTCACATCTTCAACGGTTGCAAAATATCCGTTTACTCCGAGGCTTCCGATGCTATAATACCAAATCCATATTATATATATATGATTTTAGTACATACATACCATAACATGATGACTGTTTGTGGATCGTGAGGTTGAAAAAATCACCTGATGCCATGACCGGGGCCACAAAAAATGCCGGTTATGTTGATTTGAGAGGAACCACTATTAATGGCGATGCAGTCATCGCCAGTTGCAATTATTGAGTCGCGTATGTGAACTCCTTTACAGTTAGATATGTCGATACCATCCGTGTTGGGACTATCCCAAGGTGCAGTGAGCCTTAGACCCGAGACATCGATGTTCTCTGAACAGCTTAGACCTATGTGGTTCCGAGGACTGTTCAAGTGTTGGAGATTGTACATCCTGAGACCGTTACAGTTGTTGAAGTGCATTGCCTAACAAAGAAAGGTAATAATAAACAGCTCTAAGATTAGTGATTAATGGTTTGATTAAAGTGTATATTTATCATGAGTGCGTATAAAAGGATCTTACGGTGGGACGATATTGAACTTTTCCCCACCAGACAGAACCACGACCGTCGATGGTGCCACCACCGGTGACAACTAGACCGTAGACACTGTCGAAACTAATCCATGTTGGGTATTTTCCCGCATACCAAGTGTAACCCGGCGGAACAAGGTTTCCTCTTATCTAATGTAAATAAATCATCAAGTTACATATTGGTTCGAGTAGCTAGGGTTTAAAGGATTAGGGTTTTGGAATTTCTAAGAAAGAGTATATACCGAAAAGGAGACAGAGGAAGACTTGCATGGACCGACGAATGAAAGAGGCTTAATCATAAAGGTTTTTCCTCGAGGCACAAGAAGCTTTGTCTTGCCTTTACTTCCTCCTCTACATACAGCATCCCATGTTTTAAGAAAAGCCTGAAGTATCACACATACACATATATTAGAGTATGAAAGTATATGCACATATATACATCAAAGCGAAAGTGATACATATTTGATACAAATTAAGGTCATGATTCTATATAAATAAACCTTGGTATCATCGGTCTTTCCATCGCCAATAGCTCCGAAACTAGTGACACTTACGAATCCATTGTTAGTCTTATGAGCAAATTCTTCTTCTAATCCGAAACCTAATCTGCTTATCTGCAACAAACATAACAAGACGAAGAACAACAAAAAAGAGCTCTTCATCTTTGTACGACCCGTATATTTGATGATGGATTGATGGTAATATATGTCAAGGAGAATAAATATAGAGTCTCGTGAATATATGTGTGTGTATGATGGATTTGTGTATAAAGAATGGTGGTTAATTGATAGATATTGTGCTTGATTCTTGTGTGTTTTATGGTAAGAGATTATATCTAATCACTCGATTTATGTGTTAGAAAAAATGGGAGACTGATTTGGATTATAAACGAGATATTAAAATCTTGATAAATATGGAATACTCTAATCTCTAATTGATTTATTTAACAAAACTGATAAGACAAACTTTACAATTCGTTTATTGACTGTAGGGAATGTTTTACTTATATGCTTTGATTATTGATTTATTTCTGTTTCGATATGATTATGGGAACGAATGATTAATGGCTCATCTAGGAGTTATTCATTCATTTATGTCGCCGTTTTTATGCTGTAACCATGAAACTTTGGGCCTAAGCCCATAATATTTTTAGGCCCAGGAGGAAAGGCGAAGTAAAATACCGAAAGTGACCCTTACGCGTAATGAGAGCAAAACAAAGGAGCGAGTGCGGTGTCGAATGGGCTTGTCACCAACTTGACGTTTGTTTACTTACAAACGAAGAAGAACCCAAAAAAACAAACAAGAAAATTGGAAGAAAGAGAGAAGAAACAACAAAAGAGAGAGCATCTTTTGTTGTTTAGGTTAGAGAGAGAGGAAGAGATATGGAGAGAAGAAAGGTAGTGATGTGTGGTGTGTTATCTCTCCTGGGTTTATTATCAGCTGCTACTGCCTTCGCTGCTGAAGCTACCAAAATCAAGGTCTCTCTCTCTATTTCTGCTCTTCTTCATTGTATTGAATTAATACTTCTATGGTTTCTATTTATGTTTAATTGTTTAGCTTTGTAGTGGGATTTGTGATTTTTTTCTCATGATTTTTGGTAATTATAATCTTCGATGGAAAAAGTGATTTTTTTTTTATTTTTTTTGCGTTGTCTGTTTTCGATAGTTCCAATTTTGTTGGATGTCACCAAAGGAACTAAAATCGCTATCTATTGTGAGGGCTGCTGTCTTCTGATTTATTTTTTTTTTCGTTTTCTGCTGATTATAAATTTTCATTTGTGTGAATTGTGTCGGCGGATTCAATATGCGTGAAGTTTGGGAATATTCTATTCGTCAATGAAATAGAAATGGTCCTCATTAGTCATTACAAGTGTTTTTTTTCAGAGAACTTTGTTGATTTTCCAAAATTGAAGGATCTTAGGAAAGTTCAACAGTTTTGGTAAAGAAGCAGAAAGGCTTAGATTTAAGCTCTGTGTTTTGATTTGTCTTTAGTGTGTCGTGTAGTTAGACTTTGGTAATTGCATATGTATTCCTATGTAATGTTACATGTCCGATTCCAATTGAATTAAGTATCACCTATAAGTTTCTCACTCATTTCATTTCTATATATAGAAATGGTTTCTGAATGTTATCATGCTATGTTAATTTTATGAATCAAAGTTAATAGCCTTGCTAAATATAGGCTGTACTGATCCAATGATATTTGACAAAATCAATAAGCCATAAACACTTTGCAGAGTATGTAAATGAATGAAAGTCTACAATACTTGATCTCAAATCACATTCCACTTGATTGAATATGTCTGTTTATAGATTAAAATAACAAAAAAAAGTTGGGAGTGTTAAAGTTCTTGCAAGCTTTCTTGTACAATCACTTCTTCCCTGCTAATGGTTTGTTCTCATTTTTTTGTCTCTTGACTCAACACAGAGATCTCAGATCAAGTTTACCACTTCGGATTCACTCACACGGTGCACATATTCAAGAAGTCCAGCTTGTAATCTCGGCTTCCTTTCAGCTGTTTTTCTATTGATTGCTCAGATAGCCGCGAGCGTCGCAAGCGGTTGTTTCTGTTGTAGAAAAGGCCCTGCTCCTTCTAGATCTAATTGGGCTGTCTCCTTAATCTGCTTCGTTGTTTCCTGGTAAATCTCAATCATATCTCTCCCTCCTTTTCTCTGTGAAATAACTTTCCTACTTACATTTGGTGATGATTCTTTTTTTGGTGTTACACTCTAGGTTCACTTTTGTGATAGCGTTCCTCGTGCTGCTAACTGGAGCTGCACTCAACGATGAACACAGCGAGGAGACAATGTATGCCGGTACCTACTTCTGCTACATTGTGAAACCTGGCGTTTTCTCGTTCGGCTCTGTGCTTTCAATTGTTACTGTTGCCCTCGGGATTGTCTACTATTTGTGTCTGACTTCGAGTAAGCAAAATGTTGCTCCCGCAACGACGGCGCACGGAGGAGGGATAGCAATGGGGCAGCCTCAGATTCCGGAGAGAGTAGAAGATCCTGTCTTTGTTCATGAAGATACTTACATGAGAAGACAGTTCACTTGAAAAGTAGAACAAAGGCTTGCTTATGAAACACGTTAGGTTTAGGTGGATATTTAGATTAAAGGAAGAAACGATTTGTGTTTGTTTCTTGTGAATTCTTGTATCTTGATACTAAGGGTATGAAGCTTGGTAATGATGATTAATGTAATGTTAAAATTCGAGAGAACTCAAAGTACAACATCAATTATTATTATTATTACTGTGAAGTGTGAAGGGTTTTTTTTCTATTCTTTTGTTTGTTTCTGATAAATGTAAATCTGATGTGGTTGTTGGGAAGTGTTAAGTCTCTTTTACAATTAGACAACTGATTAAAATCGTCCTGGGGGTAACATTTTTTTTTCTTTTTTGAACTTTATGGCGGGTAGTAACATTTTGGATTGTTATCAAAACCAAGTTTCGTTGATTCAACACAATTGAAATATTTTATTTTGGATTGATAAATTTGCTTGGTAGATAGATGGCAGGGATCGTTAAATAAAATCACTCAACCTACCCACCAGTCTGACCAAATCCGGAACGAAAGTGAACACATAAAATTTAGTAACAAAATAAAAAACCAGAACATATAAAAACGATCACCGTTAGTTCAATCACCGTTATTGATATTTGAAATTAAAGTTTGTAGAGTGATAGCCACCGTTAGTGGAACAACCACCACATGCTCTACCAACCAGGACAGCAACCAGCTCTTCTAATAAATCTTCACTCTAATACAATGGCAACACATCTACTCTCATTTCTTCTCATTTATAAATAAGATCCACAGTCTAGAATATAAAAGAGCATACAGAAATTGGTCAGAACTGTTCTCTTTTTAATTACTCATATCAATAAACAAATTATAAAATCAAAATGGTTGTGAAACTATACGGACAGATAACGGCAGCTTGTCCGCAAAGAGTCCTGCTTTGCTTTATGGAGAAAGGAATTGAATTTGAGATTGTTCATATCGATCTTGATGCATTAGAGCAGAAAAAACCAGAGCATCTTCTTCGTCAGGTAAAAAATTAATATTTTTCTGTAAGAAAACAAGGGAAGCCTGTGTCTAACCTTTTGTTTAATAACTATTTTCTTGTAGCCATTTGGTCAAGTCCCTGCCATAGAAGATGGAGATTTCAAGCTTTTTGGTAATCATGCTCATAACAATTTCTTTATACATGTTTTCTATCGTTTATGTAATGTATTTTGAAATTTGTCACGTGTCTGCTCAAAGAATCACGAGCCATTGCGAGATACTACGCGACCAAGTACTCGGACCAAGGCACTAACCTTTTGGGCAAGTCTCTAGAGCACCGAGCCATCGTGGACCAGTGGTCCGACGTCGAGACCCATTACTTCAACGTTTTGGTCCATCCCATTGTGATGAACCTAGTCATCAAGCCTAGGTTGGGCGAAAAATGTGACTTCGGTTTGGTCGAGAAGCTCAAGGTGCAGCTCGGGGTGGTCTTGGACGTATACGATAACCGGCTTTCTTCGAACCGGTTTCTGGCTGGTGAAGAATTTACCATGGCTGATTTGACGCACATGCCGGCGATGGGGTACTTGATGAATACCGATATAAATGAGATGGTTAAGGCTCGGAAGAATATGAACCGGTGGTGGGAAGAGGTTACGGCTAGACCGGCTTGGAAGAAGCTTATGAAGATGGCTGGTTTTTGAACTAGCTTCAAATTTATGACAACCGGAACCAAATAAGCTTCATATTTTCTGTTTCTTTAAGTTTGTACGTTTCAATAATTTAATCAATTTACTTTTGAAGAAATAGTTCGTCGCATGATGGTGTTTAGTAGCATGATTGTTTTTCATGCATTACTAAACAAATATTATGTGAATTGTCTTTGATGTTCCGTAATGGTGCTTAAAATATTAATATACTTTTGTGGTTTTTCTGTACTTGTGCTTAATCTATGATCAAGTGAACTCGTTCAAATATATTGGGTCAAAGCCAAATATTAGTTCATTTCCATGTTATTTTTCGTAAAATGATACCTTATATCATTTGTTTTTCGAATACAGATACTACTTTGCAATCTTATATATCACAAAACTGCCTGTCCAACCAAAATATTCCTAGTTCGTCAGTAACCAAGAGATATAAAAAAAATAAAAATTACTTTTTACATTGAGAAAAATAAGTGAACCATCATAAGAATTTCTTTCGCCCATTTATATATGTATATATATTAGTTAACATAATAAATTCGGCTCCTAAGTTGTTGTTTTTTTTTTCCCTTTAATCACAAAAGCCCTCTTAGGTTCTGTTCCCTCTTGCTTCTCATTCATCTTGAACTTGGAGTCTTTAGTACTGATTTAGCATAAGCCAATGGCAAAGCTGCAATCTTCTTGGCTTTCCCAACATAAGCTCTCTTTGTGAAATTGTTGTAATCATTTGCTTCAATCTCGTCCAGTATTCTCCTGTACAATAGCAGCGATGCCCATACCTGAAAGAGTTGCAGTCAAGTTTTTGGTGTTAAATCGATCCAAACACAAAGTTCAAAACAAAAAAATGTAGAGTTAAGAGTGTTTTCAGAGACACTTACCGGCCATCTGCTAGCGGCGTCGAGCTCGGTGACGCCTTTCTCAGCTTCGTCAAAGAACATCCTAGCACGTTTCAGCTGCATTTTCATGAAGTTTCTCCATTTATCAGTGACTTTGCCGGCGAATATGTCTTCATCTGAGAGACCAGCCTGAGCCAATTCGTCCTGTGGCAGATAAACCCTTCCTCTTCTCGCACTGACACAGAGCAAAACCAGTTTAAGAGAGAGAGATGTGAACCAAGAAACCAGTTTAAGAGTAGTCACACGTGAAATCAAGAAACCGGTTAAGCTGAGATATGTTAATCAATAAACTGGTCTACGAGAGAGACATGTGAATCAAGAAAGAGATATGTGGAAAAAGACTCACTCTTCGCCAACGTCTCTGAGTATGTTGGTAAGCTGATTGGCAATACCGAGGGCCAAGGCAGCGTTGTAAACACTCTCAGTCGTTGCTTTCGACTTAGGATCGATCCCCATAACTGGAACGCTCATCAAACCGACGGTTCCAGCGACATAGTAGCAGTAAAGGTAGAGATCATCGAAGTTCTTGTATCTCGATTTCCTCAAGTCCATTCTCATTCCTTCGATCATGTCTCTAAATGGCTGCAAAATAAAGAAAACATTAGATCAAAGTTTTAACTTTTGCAATAGACTGAATGTTATTAAACAGGTGAAATGATATGGGTAAGTTGGATAAGGCAGAGAGATGAGAGAGAGGCTGACCTGAATGTCGACAGGGTATCTAGCAACAGTGTCAGCGAGAGCTGCATCGAGCATATCGAAAGGACGGCCACGGAACAGATCTTCTAGCCTTGCTTCCCATCTATCTAACGCCATTGGAGTTATATGTGAAGCATTAGGCCCATCTACTAGCTCATCAGTTCTTCTACACCAAACTGCTCAAAAAAATAAGAGTAAAATCATCAAATCAAGAACAATCAAACACAAAAGAACACAAGTTTTATGAACAGTTTTGAATTCCTCAGATCATTTGGATAAATAGTATCCCAAAGGGTTATAGCATGAGTAAATCTCTAGTGTTGAAGACTGTTGGGCCCAGAAAGCCCATTAAAACCCCATATTAGTACTAATCCAAATTTCTTAAGAGGACACAGATTTGGATGCTTGCTGCTTCATGGAAGCTAATACACAAACTAACTAGAGAAGTCTTATGTTTCTACATGAGTGTAAGTTTCAAAGGAATCTATTTCAGCGTCTTAGAACTGCTTGCTAAGAAAATTCATCTAAAACTACTAACCAATAGAAACAATAGATAAATCAATCGATGATGACGATGCATATATGTCAAAACAGTTCTTGAAATCATCGGTTTCGTGCAAGAACTCACCGTAGATAGCCCAAATCGCCTTTCGCCTTTCAGGTGTCATAAGCAAAGTTCCTGCAACAAAAAACAAACACTTTATAACTCAGTAAAACAAACAAACATACCAAATTCTCCATTACACCAAAGCCAAAGAAGAGAGAGAAACAGATCCTAACCGAGATAAAACGTCTTAGCATATTCAGCGCAAACTTCACCGCATCGATCATAAGCCTCACCCAACAAACTCAAACTCCCTGGGAGAACAATCTCTTGAGGTTTCTTCACATCAAGCTCATAAGAAGTAGACCTGAGCTGTTTGTTCACCAGAGCAGCTTGTTTCAGCACAACATTGTAAACCTTCTCTTCAGATGAGAGGGTCATCTCTCCTGTAGGACTTGCTACTAAGCTTGAAGACACAACACCACTTCTTCGTCTTGTGCAGCTCATTGAAGAAGAAGAAGAAGAAGAAGAAGAGCCCCAGGTTGTTGTCTGCTTCCTCCTACAACGAGAGAAGAGTCTAGAAGTTTCTAGAACCCTAACCAACCCACAATGGTTCATTGGGTCTGGGTTTGGAGAAGCTGCAGCAACCCATAACACTGCTACAGAAGACATACTCATCAAGTTCTTCAGAGGGATAAGAAAAATCTCAACTTTTTTTCTTCTCTTGTTTTTGTCTACTCTGTTTCTTCACTTAGAAGAATCAAAATCCCAACTTTGCGGTGTAACCCAGTTTTCGATTTGGATCAAACTGGTAAATTGTAATGCTTTCCTGCAAATGGATTAAAAAAAACGATTTGATGAGAAATCGAGATCTCTGGTTCTCTTTACAGCGAGAAATAAACTCAATTTGTTCAACCAAATAACCGATTCCATAGCAAAGAGACAAACAGGTAACGTGAAGATCTTTAATAGCAAATGAAGAACATCGAAAGAGAAACAACAATCCCCTAAAATTCTGGCTAAATACTTAACTGGGTTCGTCTATTTATCACTCGAAATTACACAAAAATCAAAAGAGAAAAAACTAGATTCCGTTTCGTTGTGATTCCCAGCATGTGAAGGTGTACAAATGAACATGAAAAAGAGCCTAAAAGCAGAAAAACAGTGAAACAGCATGAGAAAGTAAGCTGACCAAACGGGGGAAAATGAGTGATGGAAACCAAAGCCTACCTTTCTCTCTCTCTCACACTCTCTCTCTCTCTCTCTCTCTCTCTAAGAAACAGACACCGTGAAGAGGAGACGGGGAAGCAGGCGGAGGAGGAGGAGGAGGAGATTTTCAAACAATTAATTAATCAAAAGACGAGAAAAAGGTTTGACCCATTAATGTCAGAAAACTCTCTGGAAATTTTTATCTTACAACGCTTGCTGTAATATATACTCTCCATACATGTACTCTCTCTCACACAAGTAGATGACTCTTCCTCTATCACTCAAAATCTCACCCACACAAAATTTCTTGTAATTATTTTCCCTCTTGTTTTTCTTTTTTTTTGGCTTTTTAGGATTTAATGAGAAGCCGGAATAAATACAAAAGTCGTTATTTTATTTTCAGTGTATATTTGTATATTAATTTTGACTGTTTGGTGACTCGTGTCATGTATCAAAACCTTTATAGAGATGCCAATTTAAAACACCTTAACTTTTAAACCAGTTTTCTTTCTCCTATTTGGCCAAATTTGTATTCATTGTTTTGAACTGAATCATAATATTTCTGTAAAATATTTGATTTATTACCAATTGAGTGCCAGACTGGATATTCCTGTATCTCTATATTAAGAGCTCTGGATTAATAATTTACATTTTTGAAATTAATAAATTAAATATATTTTAAGCTTGTGATTTTGTATTAATGGTTTAAAAGAACATTTGAAATGATGTAGTTTGTGGTCTAATAATTCAAAAACAGAAACTACATCATCAATTTTAACATATGTATTAACGAGACTACGAAAGTGTGATGAAACATATCGGTTAATAGATATTTATTGAAGTTCGGGGAAAATATAATAAAATACAATGGTGATCTAAAAATAACATTCATTTTTACAAAAAGAAAATGTAATTGTTTTCTAAAAAATATATCTTTGTATCAAACAAATGAAATTAAATATACAACATATTGTGAATTTTTCCGGATTAAAGCAAATCAAAACAATCTAAAATTTGTCAAAACCACAGCAAATTGCAAATATCGTATTTTTCAGTATATCCCATATATAGACTTACTTGCGGATGTTTAAAAAAAAATAGAAAATTACGTCTACATGTGACAAAGCATACAAATAGAAACTCTATAAATTAATACTCGATAAATTAATAAACACGATAAATTAATAAATTTCTCCGGTCCCGAGTTGGGCCAGTGTAAAATATGACACAATTCGATAAGATAATAAGATAATAACTTTTTTTAAACTCCTATGTAAAATATGGTCCCAATAATATCATAAATTAATAATTATCATATAAAAACTTATATATATATGTGTATATGTATATAACTAAGATATTAGTTACTAAAATATGAATCTCTCACATACTAAACATATAAGGAAACTAAAAGAAAAAGGAATTTAAAGAATATGGCAAATATGATAAAAAAAACTTATATAATAAATCAATATAGAAACATCAAAAAAAAAGTTAAGAAAATATATATATAAAGGAAAGTTTTTATTTAATTTGAATAAAATCTTTAAAGATTATCATTATTGAATTTTATTTTTTTGAAAAATATTTTTTAGTGAAAATCTATATATTAATAACTCTATAAATTAATAAAATATCAAAGTCCCAACATTATTAATTTATAGAGTTTATACTGTATGTCGAAGTTAATCATATTTAGTGTATCATTGATTGATGGTCAGGATATAAGGTAAAGTAGAAATGTAGATGCAACAAAACTCACTCCACGGCACAAAAAAGAGTATGTTTGGTTTAAGCATAATCGTAGTAAACTAAACTGCGTAAAGAAACGTAACTCTACCAGCTCTAGATCACTTCTGAAATTCTACGAGATTGCGTAGGAAACTTGGATTTCACTATTTTACGGCTTTCCATTCAAAACGTTTACTTATTGTTTCCAAATAAAACATCAGCGTGGTGTAATTACGAACATCACGAATCAAAGGACTCAAAAGTGACACATTATTTTGGTCAAACAAAAAAGTGAGACAATTGATTACTCAGATGGATCACCAATCGCTATTAATCAGACGACTAAAGTATAAATATTAACATACAGAAATATATATTATGATATAAATACGTATTTGTTGGTAGAAAGGACAATCGGGTTTGGGTGGGTCCATGCCAGTTTGGGTAAAAAGGATTAGAGAGAGAGAGTGTGTTGACATAAGCTAAGCAGAAAGAGAGATCACAGAGATGCCACGTGGTCTCCACGGCCAATGGGAGAGCGATAAGCTTATCAAGTGCGGAGGAGCACCGAAGGGTAAAGTGGGCGACGCTGCTTTTCCACGTGTCCATACATCATTGGTTCAAAGTGCAAAAAGCTAGATTTTCTCTTAATAGTCGATGCTTGGGTCCCACTCCTTCTCTCTCTACCCTCGTTGGCAACTTGTTCTCTCCGCTCCTAGACGGAGTTACCTCTCTTCCGTTCAGAAGGCTTGTCTTTCTGATTTTTGTTTTTATTAATTCTCCCTCTGTCCCTTTCTTATTTTTAGCTTTGTCCGTATTTTCCTCCGTATATTGGTTGAAATACATTCTCTTGTAAGTTTGTACGTTTGCTTGGAAGCGTTTTTTGGACTAACTATAGGTTAAAATGTACGTGTCTTTATACGAAACTTGAGATAATACAGCTTCACATTATTTACGGAGTAGACATCCAAATTAAAAAACCTTCATTCAATACTAAATCATAATTCCATAGAATCGTCGCTAAAACTCAGGAGAGTATCACTAAGATTCGATGCGATTTCGTCAAACAACTAACGTACTGAAATTGTTTGGCGAGCGATGGAGACATGGTTGTACAATGGAAACGTGTAACCGTAAACATGTTATCATACGTGGCCAACCAAATTTAAGGCCGAGATTGGCAATTTATCGTTTTCTTATGTCAAATCATATAAGTAAATAAAATAAAATTGGTTTTGTTATAAAAAGTACCAAATAAATGGACCGTAGTCACCATATACATGGTTACATGGCTTGACACGTAGTGCTACTTAATGCTGCAAGTTTTTTTTATCTTTCTTTGCCTCCTCCGAATAGTATAAAATTTTAGCCATATAAATTATTTTTGATGACGAGTTTTAGTTACTCTAGTTTCTAAAATGGTCTAGAAAAGGCTGTACTATATAAAAAACAATAAAATTCGTTAATGGCTACGTATAGAGAGTCAACCACGTAAACACTAATTGGACGTGTTGGTACTTGGTACACTTCCATTACATTATACACGAATCGATTGAGTGTACATTTTACAAAATGATAAATTATACTTCCGCCGTTTCAAATTAGTTGTCGTTTTGGAAAAATATATTTGTAATTATTTGGATGTATCTGTAATGCAAAAGACGTCCAAATACGTCCAAATATTTGCAGATACATTTTGCCAAAACGACAACTAATTTGAAACGGAGGGAGTATTTCTTAACCTATCAATTTTTACTCAAATAGTCGATTCACACTTGCAGCTTATATTCTAAAAAGAGTTCTCATAACTCAATGATTCGAGATTGACAAAAAAACTAGTATAATTTGATGAGATGGTTCCGAAACTAAGTAAACAAAAAAGAATTGTATATTTCTATCTACTAGACTTTCATTTTTTGACATGTTAAAACTAAATGCGTCATTTTGCCCTTCGAGGCCACACCTAAAAAAGACGAATGGCAAAACCATTAAAATTGGATCTACTTGACCATTGAATCTACCGTGGTATTGAAACTTTTATTATACGTTGGTAAAAAAAAAGGACGAAACGTGATAAATTCACATACACCACAAGATTTGCTTAGTTACCAATTATTTGTCTTAGCCGTGAGAAACTGAATATTCTTTCCTCTGGCTTTGCATATTCTTTGTATGTACTTGTTCTGTTTTTTTTTCTTGTCACGTACTTGTTTTGTCATGCCAACGCATATTATTAGACATGTACCGGTTATCTATTATTGTAGTTGGTTTATTATGGTTAAGTAGATAAACCGGTACAGGTCTAATACATATATACACTCAAGTCATTTGGGAAAACCTGTTTTCTCCACTCCACCGAAAGTCATAACTATTGAATATAAGTGACCAAAAGTGTATTTTAGTTTCGCTGATCTAGACTACATATATCAATTTCTTCTATTTGGTCACGAATCACGATGATCAATAGAGAGGTTGCATGAGCATGACTGAAGATTAATTAATAGAGACGAGAATTCGATATTTCTGATTCATAGAAATATGTTAATTCATTCAAGTGTAAAAATGTCCACTTAGTATTAATTAGAGGCCTGAGTTATGTTTTAACTTCTGACTTTCCCATACACCCAAAAGGCCTAAATACACTGAGCTTTTATTTACCAAATCCAGACGGATCTGAAAACCAAAAATTAATAAGATCCATGGATTCGAACCAAACCGGATTTAACCAGGGTTTAAGGAGAGTCAAAAACCCAGAAAGAAGGAAGGAGAAGAAGACGGACATGGAAGTATCAAGTATGGATTTAGAGCACCAAACCATGGAAATGTTCCTGCGATGGGCATCAGAGCTCGGCATTTCAGATTCTGTTGATTCTCCTCGAATTCGCGATTCGTGTCTCGGCCGTTCCCTTTCCGTCGCCGACTTCCCTCTCGCCGGCGGGTGCCTGCAAACACGAATTCGATTTGTTCTAAAAAATCTCTAAAAATTTATCTTCTCATTTCTCTTTGCTCGATTGATGGAAACAGGAGAGGTTTGGGAGCTGTTCGTGAGCTCAGGAAAGGAGAATTGGTTTTGAAAGTCCCGAGAAGTGCTTTGATGACTACAGAAACCATGACCGCGAAAGATCGGAAATTGAGTGGCGCCATTAATCTCCACGGATCGCTTTCTTCGACGCAGGTTCTCCTTTCTCTGTCAATCTGATGTGTTCTGTTTTGTAAATCTCAAAACCAGAATCCTTGAAATTGCAGATACTGAGTGTATGCTTACTGTATGAAATGTGCAAGGGGAAGAGCTCCTTCTGGTATCCGTACTCGGTACATTTACCTCGTGACTATGATCTCTTGGCCACATTTGGGGAATTCGAGAAGCAAGCTTTACAAGTTCTGTGTCTACTACTCTACACTTTTATGTTTAATTTTGGGTTTTGGAATAGGTCAGGTCTCATGTCCCTTTCTTCTCTTTTGCTCTGGTGATGCTAACTCTTCAAAAATGGAATTTTTTGATCATGTTTTTAGGTTGAAGAAGCTGTTTGGGCTGCAGAGAAAGCCATAGCCAAGTCTCAGTCAGAGTGGAAGGAAGCTGTTACGTTGATGAAGGAGCTAGATCTCAAGCCAAAGTTTCAGAGTCTCCAAGCATGGCTCTGGGCTTCTGCAACTGTAAGAATACTTCATCTACGTACTGAAAGATGTTAAATTGATTAGAAACCTCACAGTTTCAAACTCTTCTTCGGTTTGAAGATATCTTCACGGACCCTGCATGTACCATGGGACACTGCTGGGTGTTTGTGCCCTGTGGGGGACTTGTTTAACTACGATGCTCCTGGAGATGATTCGAATACCTCAGAAGGTCCTGAAAGGCTCACAGATGGTGGATTTGATGAAGATGCCAATGCTTATTGTCTTTACGCAAGAAGGAGTTATCAGCTAGGAGAACAGGTACAAGTTCTTAACTAGCTTTACTACAGCTGCAACACTTATGAAGCGGAAGCATATAATAAATGGCGAGGATTGTATTTGTGTGTGTAGGTTCTTCTGTGTTATGGGACATACACGAATCTAGAGCTTCTTGAGCACTATGGGTTTATGTTAGAAGAGAACTCAAATGACAAGGTCTTTATTCCTCTAGAAAATAGCCTTTATTCTCTAGCTTCTTCATGGCCGGAAGATTCTTTATACATTCATCAAGATGGTAAGCCATCTTTTGCGCTTGTATCGACGTTGAGACTGTGGCTGACCCCACAGAGCCATCGTGACAAGTCGGTTATGCGCCTTGTCTACGCCGGATCTCAGATATCTGTGAAGAATGAGATTATAGTCATGAAGTGGTTGTCAGAGAAATGTGGAAGTGTTTTAATGGATCTACCAACTTCTGTAGTAGAAGACACTGTGGTTCTTGGTAACATTGACAAACTCCAAGATCCCAAACTGCGTCTGGAGCAGGAAGAAATAGAAGCTTTTGGAAACGAAGTGTGTGCCTTTTTGAAGGTGTATCGTTTGTGGGATGCCAATGAAGTTTCGGGGAAAGCTAACAGGATGATGAGCAAATGGAGATTGTCAGTCCAATGGAGGCTAAGGTACAAGAGAACTCTTGCAGATTGCATTTCTTATTGTAATGAGAAATTGAATATTCTCTCTGGTACTCATAATGGGACTAGGGATTTGTAAACGTGAATCAAATCGATCCTTTTTTAATCTATCATGTAAAAGAAAGAATTTCTGATAACTGTTTATACATTCTTAGGAAGTCAAAAACAAAGTATATAGTAAGATCTACTTTAATATCTTGTAATCATTTGCAAGTATGAATCAAAGATAGTAAGCTGAAGCCAAACAGATGAGGACATCAGTGAGAAAGAGACCAACAACGTCAAAGACAAACTTTGGAGCAAATAAACCCCAAACCTGCAAGAACATGAGAGCAATGTTTTAGTCACAGAAACAACACAAAAACCTTTAACTAGAGTGAATATTCCTGTGTTTACCATCAGATGTCTTCGGTGGATGGTGACACAGAGGATCGTGGCTGTGACAGTAGTCGCGGATATAACTCCATAGAGCATATACATCTGATTAGATTTATAAAAAATATTATGATTTTAACATCTTGTTACTCTATCTCTGCTAGTATATGCCAAAAGTGAGTCGATATGAAGGATAGGCTTACCTGAAACACCTGGTGGCGCTTTTCTACATGAGCCTGAGGAGTTTGAGAGCGGACCGGTATGAGGAGAGGAAGTCCAAATACAGAAAGGATGACAGAGAATCCAAACGTTTCGATTGTCAAAAGGATGGCTTGTCGTATAAGCACAAACTCATCAAACCTGATGGAGAAAAAGATGTAAGCAAGACCATCATAAAGAAAGAAGACTCCACTGTAGTCTTACAGTTTATGAAACTTGGACCTACCCAACAAATGCAGCTCCATAACGGAGGCCATCAAAGGCGCACCAATGCCCGCTGGCGAAAAACATGCATACAGAAAGAAGACTCCATTGCACCACACACAGAGGATTTAGTTTTGAGAATCTCTTCTTTCCATCGGATTTGGTTCTTCTCTCTACATCCTCCAGCCTCATTATACAATAGCCTACATAGATTTAACAGCATGAGTTAAACCTTAATGACCTGAGTCGATATTATAAATAAAGCTTTTTTGCTTTGAGACGAAAAACTACCAGCCAGCAAATATGCTAATGCAAGCATTGATCCTTGTTTCCCCGACAAGAGGATTACTGGCGAGCTACAAGCAGATACAAGAGCAACAGCTCTGATGGTCCAATTCTTGTCGTTCCCTGAGCAAAACATACGGGCAGAAGCTAAAAGAAAGAGCTGCGCCAATGCAATTAGATAAACCGTTTGAGGGATGAGGTTTCTTCCTCCGGTCACTTGAAATAAACCCTCCAAACCAAATAACTTGCTCTCTGAAGCCCAGAGCAACGCTATCAAAATGTAGCTTATCATACTACCAACAGTAACATACTTCCACAGCCCGTCACTAGGTGTTTTAGCAGTCACCAAGTAGAGCACGCAAATGAGTATAACCACCGATAGAATCGGTGCAATTTCAATCGCATATGTCAATGCTGGATGGTCTGGAGCTATCCCGAGCATCCACGATGGTGAGCTACTCATAAACTGAGAAGTTGCAGCTTGCTTTGTTAACCCAATATCTATAGAAAATCTGAGAACAGAAACCATAGCAAGAAATATAACAGCCTGCAGACAAGAGAATAAAAGAAAAATTATTACATGACAAGCAGTGAATAAGTTAATAACCAGAAGTAACTAAGACATGTAAACGATAAAACTCACTTCTTTCCGCATTGCTTTATTCATAACCGAGTACCGCAGCTTGATAAGCCCAGTTGTTGCTAGGAGAAAGTTTGCAACTTTTCCTTCTTCCACTATTTACACAAAAGTTCTTTGTCAGCAGCAACGTACACTAAAATCATAGACCGCAAGACAAAAATCGTAAAATTACTGGAAACTTACAAATATAGCTGTTTGAAAGAAAGCTGCAAGCACGAATCAATACTATAAATAGAGTGAGCGCTGCACCAGTAGAAAACTCACAACCCACTGCATAAGGTTTATCGCCATGAAATATAGCAAGAGACTGAAGGATGAGTGATACAACCAATATCCCGAACCCAGCAATCATTAGATTCAGATTGAACTCTGTCCACTTAGAACGTGCAAGTTCGACAACGCTTGAGAAGAAACTCAAATATGCAGCAATTTGCTCTTTAAGGGCAGATATATACTGACTGTCTTCATCTCCATTACTATTCCTCAATATGTGTTTCACAGACCTAGACCAATTCTGTTCCGCTGCAGAATATAAATCTGATATCCTCGACATATCATCGGAAGAGAAACCAACAACAGATGAATTAGAATAAACATCTATATATCTTTTCACCTGCATATACATAAATACAGTTGGAAAATGGGAATTCTGAAAAATAACTCATTTAAGTCATGAAAATTTTAGTTTTAAGTTTTCGAACAGACAGGCTTGTTACCTGCCAAGCATTGACACAGAGGACATTCACATAATTTTTCATCCACTCTTCAACAGCTGATTGGGTGCCAAAATTTCCCAACTCAAAGTTACCGGAACCAAGGGCATAGAGCTCAGGGTTGACATGTCCAATGCTGAGATTTTTAGATATGTAGCAAAATGTTAGAAATGTTAATATGCGTGAACGGATTTTTTTCCTGAATAGAAGCAGGAAACAAAAATTGACAATGATCCTTACAAGGCACCTTCCAAACGGAAAAGATATCCCAAGCAAAGCTGACAGTGTTGCCGCAAAATCAAGCTGCAAACAGCAAGCACAAAACAATTCAGTGTGGCAAAGAGGTTAGCATAAAGCAAGATCAAAGGTATCATCACATCAAGTTTAATACTGACCTGCTCGATCGAGCTGATGCAAATCTGCTTCCCGTCCTGAGATTACGATGAACCCAATAAAATCAGAGTAATAAGATATCTGAAAATCAATTCTACAATCACCAAGGAATATGTTTCGGAAGTCAAAATTACCGGATTTTGTTTACAAGATGATGTATCAAACTCAGGAGGAACTGGAGTTGTATGCTTCTTCGTACTCATGGCAAACATGGATGTTTCTACCTGAAAGGATTTGGCAGTGAATGTAAATTAAAATAGTTTAAAGCAGAGTGAGTTTAAGAAGAAAACCACTTTCTTACCTCTTCAGCCGTCCCTCCACCATGATCCCCATTCAATGTCTGTCCATGGTCACCCATTACGATAAGCATAGTATTCTCATGCAAACCTCCTGCTCCTGCCTGGCTCTCCAATATATCGATGACTTTCTAGACGAGGCAAGTTTATAATGAAAATGAAACAAGATTACATTTAGTAAGCTAATAACTCTTTACAAGACTGATAAAATAATGAAAAGATAATTTGTTTTCGTTGCAAGCTTAAACCAAGGATTACTGTACTTCATAAAAATTTACCTCTAAAACTGTATTATACTGCTCCAGCTTTTCAATCATTGGGATGGAATCCACTCCATATATGTGCCCTGCATGGTCCTGCATATATTAAACTTCACTGCATCAAATAATTAATGGCAAGATGACAGAGAAAAAGAAGAAACCAAGGGTAATTTTTAGCATACCACGCCGAGAAAATGCGCAATTAGAACATCCCAATCATCTTCGTAAAGGGTTGGGAATAGGTGCTCGATGCAACCGTTGTCAACCTGTAAAAGCAAGAGTAATATCACACAGTTTAACACTTACAAAAAGAGGATCTACTCAGCGAAGCTTTCTCAGAAAGAAACATACCAATAACATGAATCACTTACAGTATCCAGATCTTTAACATTGAACGATGGGAAAGGATATGACTTTTGAAATTGGTTTGGGAACAACTGCGTCCATGTATCATCGCCCATCATCACCAACCGTTTCCCATTTAGCACTAGCTATGCATAGAGAGAACTCGTTCAAGTTATTTTACGTGCACTGCGCAGACAAATCAGAGTGACATTTTAGATAAGCCTATACCTGACTGATGAAATTATCCTCAACAATAGCAGGAGCACCAAAACTATTTCCAACATCGATAAAAGTAGGCAATCCTCCCGTGGTTAATCCCTGAGTTTCACAGCTAGAGAAAATCACAAACTAGAATTTGAAGTAATAATGTTTATGTAGTATTGTATAAAATATAGGACCTTGAGACGCTGCAAACTCGTTGTAGGAGGATCGGCAAAAGCCTTAAAGATCTTAGCAGACGTATCATTAGCAAATGCGAGCTTCTGCAGGATTGTCAATTTGTCCATCCATGGCTTTGGCTCTATCAATTAAAAAGTTTACTTGTGAACTCATTGCTCAGATATCAGTAAGAAGCAATACTTAGCACAAGGAGCTTTCAACTCACCTGGGAAGAAAGCACTCGGTGCAACGAAATCGATCCTGAAGAAAAAAACAGTCGAAATCACGAAATGCTTATGCAATTGTTGAAATGATTCTGGAAATGTAAAGAAAAAATTCAAACCTGAGAGCATCCAAGACGACGATGACGACGCGATCGACGACCGGTTTGGTCCAACATTTCGGCTGGTTGTGAATTGGAAGGACAGAGCTCGAATCGGAATTTGAAGAAGAAGCAAGGCAAGGAGAGAGGGAAACGTCGGAGCAAGTGCTGTGGAAAGGAAGCTCAGTTCGAGTGAGAAGAAACCCGCGAGTAAAGATCAGAATGGCGACGGAGTGGATCACTAGGAAACCTATAGCTATCCACTTCTTTCTCAGATATGTCTCCATCTCCGGATCAAATTCTCCGGTACAATTTCCGACTAGTAGTTTTCGCCGTGACGGTGACGAAGAAGGAAAATGGAAACGACGTCGTTTTACTGAGTCAAGTGGTCAAGCTTTGCTGCATTTGGTTTCTCCAGCAAACCGTCTCTAACCGATATAACATACTGGGTTCTCCAATTGTGGTCTCCAACTGTGGAACAAATCGGTTATCCGACTCGGTTAAAGTTTATTGACGGATATGATGAACATAAATCAATCCAAGTATCGTTAAGCTAATCTGATCCTCAGTGAAATTTTTAATTAATACAGTTCTACTACATATTTATTACTCCCTCCGTTTTTTCTTTATAAATTTTATAAGATTTTCACACTTATTAAAGAAAAGCAGATTTTCAATTATTAATGTATTAATTTTTGAAATAAAACAACTTTCTATAATTTTCAACCAATAAACATCTAACAGATATAATCATTGTTTCTTAAAAACTGAAAAAATATATTAAAAAAATAAAAAATTTATCTTTGTGAAACAAGAACTAATGACTAAAAAAATTCATCTTAAAAAAATGAAAGGAGTATTTGGTAACTCAAATCTTAGTTGATTCAATTTTGGTTTACAGTTATGATGTCCAAAATAAATTGCGATTAACCTTCACATTAATTTAATAAACAAATTTTATCGTGTCCATTTTATTGCCCGGTAGTAAGTCTTTGTCCGTCACCGGATAATAATCTCCGGTCCTGTTCTGATTAAGGTCCTTTTAGTATCAGCTGTTAGGTCAAAATACCACTTATCTCAGTTCGTTATCGTTCACAAAGAGCCAAAAAGCAAAACCGAATTTAATAAAAACTTAGGAGGAGGATCAGATATTAGGCTTGATTTCCTCTGTTGAGAAGGAAATGTAAATCGCTTAGTATAATCAGATTCGATCATTTGGGGAAATTGTCATCACTTCCAAACTCCATTTATGAATAGTTTAGTTCTAAAAAAAACACAGAAAAAAAAACAAAAACCAAGTTGTAAAAACAAATTAGGAGAAGGATCAGAACATAGGCTTGATTTCCTCTGTTGAGAAGGAAATATAAATCGCTTAGTATAATCAGATTCGATCATTTGGGGAAATTGTCATCACCTCCATTCTCCATTACCAAAAAACAATAGACACTTTGCTAAGTGAAAAAACAAAATCATTAAGAACAAAAATCGTTAACTTATACAAAAAATAAGGAGAAGGATCAGAATAAAGGCTTGATTTCCTCTGTTGAGAAGGAAATATAAATCGCTCAGTATAATCAGATTCGATCATCTGGGGAAATTGTCATCACCTCCAAATCTCCTTCACTTGGTACTTCAAAAAAAAAAATCACTAAGAAAACCAGCTCAAAACATTAACCTAATACAACGAATTACAAAAAATAAGGGAGAAGGATCAGAATAATTGGCTTGACTTCCTCTAAAAAGAGGAAATTCTAATCGCTCAGTATAATCAGATTCGATCATCTGGGGAAATTGTCATCACCTCCATTCTCCCTTATTCTATCTACAAACCTAAGAGCTTTAATACAAATCTAACTATTTGCCCTAAGCTGAAAATTCGAGCTGATTAAAAAACCCAGAGGATTTTTCACATAGATATCAAAACGAATAACAGATATAGGGAACGAATTTGGCGTCAACTCATACTCAACGAACATGAACAAGCACGGTGGTAATCAGTAAAAGTGACGCACAATATAATTGAAAAACCATAGCATCCATGAAATTCAAGTAAAAATCGAAAAACTGAGAAAGAGTGTAAATCTAGAGGAAGAGAAGTCGACGGCTGTTTTTCTGGAGAATTGAGGTAGTCAAAAGATATTTATAGGTGCTATGAGAGGCTGGTGTCGAGATGAAACCCTAACGCGCGTGTTATTCACGTGGCTTGTAATCCGATAAATTTCTATTGGGTCCTTGTATTTTGTGTAGGCTTTGGTTACTCTGCAAAAAGTTTTACATTGTTCAATTCCTTTTATTTTGTAAGGTTTCCTGAAAAGCACAATATATTATACGAAAAAACACCAAAAAAATAGTGTTACTTGTTTGCTAAGACAGTACTATGTATAGATTATGCATAACAACATTTCTCTCCCCAATAATATTGAAACATGACAATGAATCAATCAATCTATATAGTATACATGTGTAGTTAGTCAGAAAACAAATGTAAGACATTTGTAATAATGTTTTGCAGCTAAGCTAATCTGCTTCATTCTCGTCTTCGCAACATTTTCAGCCTTCTGGAACCAAGAATCCTTGCCTTCTTCCATCAACATTGTTCTCTCTTGAATTCCTTGAACCGGATTTATGTGAATTTTCAAAATCTGCGACGGTACGACTTTATAGTATAAAACTTCCGATGTTTGACGTGTACAGATGAGCATTTTATGGTGTACTTTAACGTCTTCTTCAGTCATTTTGAATCCTGACGAATTTAAGGTTGTGTTTGAGTTGTCGTTTTCTTCTACTCGGTTGTCAAACGAGAAAAAATCATCGATCTCTATGTTGTTGATTGTATTGGTCCGAGATCCGCCTGTAATAATATAAGACATATACATTTATATATTTTCGATTTGATATACTTAACGTTTCTATATGGTTAATGGTTTGAGTTCCGAAATTAGAGGTTATATATCATACCCACCATAAAATTCCAGATCTTGGTCATTATCCTCGAAATTTGGCAAAATCTTTGGTTCTTCTACAAAACTCTGTTACATGAAAGAGACAATTATATTTGAGGTTAGAGAATATGATAAAAATAAATTATATGTTGATGATTATGATATTTATACCTGTTCTAAATTCTCGTTAGACATCCTCATCCACGTCGAATTTCCACCATGGAGCATTAACTTTTCGTCAAGATTTCCAATGTGTATCAAATGATCACCGACGTTGCTGTTATAAAACTGGTTTGAGTAATTACTTGCAGCGAAAGTGAAGTCCTCGAAACCGCACTGATCGCTGTTTTGATTCGTTTTCGTGGAGAAATCGCTGGCTTGAATCGGCGAGTTTTCTACTCGCAATTGTGGCAACGACATTTGATGTTGGAACATCTCACATTCCATTTCTGTATTTACCTATACATACAGACAACATTTTAAGATTCGGATGTGATTCATATTAAATATAACACCATGGAATTTATAGTAACGAAAAGGTTACCTTTGATTGAGTGAGGTATGGTCCATAAGGAGAACCGTAACTTGGTAAGCTTTCAGACATGTCTTGTGACAAGTACTGTGACCAGTCATCTTGATCACCCATAGCGTTTGCGTTTCCAAATCGCGGTTGTGTGTCGGTAGCGTTATTATAAGGTAGAACTTGATGTGTATTTGAACTTATTTCAAGATCTGAATTACAAACGTCAAAACTCGAGCTGCCACTTATATTCGAGCTCGTGTGGACGTAAGGCTGCTGCTGCTGATGATGTTGATCCCTTGGTTTTGCTTCGATCACTATTTTCTTAAACACGCGACAAAGTGCATATGCCTCCTAAAAATAGACAAAAAAAAAAGTTAGTTAGCTAGACAAGAGAGTTTCTCTAGTAATAAATCTAATATTTTAAAAAGATGATTGATATATCGGTTTAATTAGCAAACCTGCATGCCGAATGCACTAGGCTCGCATTCGGTTTCATCGAGACGATACTCATGCATGACCCAACCGGTTCTGATACCGTGTGGGGCGCGTCCACGGTAGTAGACTAGTGTTTTCTTGGTTCCTATGGATCGATCTCTCCAGCTCACCCGCCGGTCTTTGCCCGTGGCTTTCCAATAACCAGCTTTTGTTGCCCGGTTTGTTCTTGAACCATTGGGGTACTTTCGATCCCGTGGACTGAAGAAGTACCATTCTTGGTCCTTGCTCGGAAGCAATGACTTCCCTGCCAATTTTTAAGATTGAGCTAGTTAATCTACGACGACAATAAGTGTTAATTATTAACTTTTATGGTATATAAAGGTGTTTTAATTCTCGTCAAGGTTAACGTATACTATGGTTTTTCTTGTCCTTGTGATATTCATATTCTTTTCTTCATCTTATCACTTAAACCTAAGTCTAAAACCAATCTACCTTTTAGACCAAAAAGGTCTCGTACCATATTATATATTGATAGACTGAATTGTGGCTAATTATTAGTATGTTAATAATTGTTAAATACCTGGCAAATCCCATGGTTCGCACTTGTAGAGGTCTACTTCAGGGATGATATCTAGCTCGATCTCTTGACCGTTGATCTTTCTTTTGAGATAGTAGGTGATTAGTTCTTCATCCGTTGGATGGAACCTAAAACCTGGAGGCAACGAGACCGGAGCCATGTCTATGCCCTACGATAATATAGAACAAAAGAATGAATGGTCTTGCTTACGGGAAAAAACTCTCCCAGCAAGACCGACCCTATTTGATCTATACAGATAAAAAAGTGTGATTGAGATAGCAGAGAGGAGAAGAAGAATGATACGAAAGTCTGAGAGAAAGAAGAAAAAAGAGAAGAGACAAATGTTGTGTGCTTGAGGGCTTGAAGGATTATTATAGGGTTATAAATAAAGAGGAGAAAGACAAAATTTCATATAAAATAATGGAGAAAATGGAATTGTACGTTGAAGGGAGGATGATGCCACCCTCGAAATTAAACATGGAGCTTATGATATAAAATTATAAATAAATGCTCGATTTGTCCCGTCTTTTTCCTTCTCTTTTTGTTTTTTCTTACACATATTCTGATTCTTACCATCGTTTTCTTCACGTTTTATAGATAGGTTGGAAGAATTCAAAAAGGTTAGTCAAGTGGGGTAAACGGAAATGGCTCACTGTAAAAACTTATCTTTGATAGAGCTCAAACCCTCCCCCCCTGTGATTTAAATCATTTTTGGCCATCCATATATATTATTATGGCAAGAAAACCTGATTTTTTTTTTTTTTATTATTGATTCACAATCGGTCGGATCGTATTCGTAAGCAAATTATGTTGTGAGTGTCACATTTTACAAAGTTGAGTCACTATATCTTGTGCATTTCAAAACATATCTTCCAAATGTTCCGTAGTTTTGGGGGTGGTAAACTTTTTGCAAAAATCAAGAAATTTCGATCAATTGTAATGGTGACAAAAAAATAGCATGTTCTAATGAAAACGGCATTAATAAACTGGTACCCAAATGCAAAACCATGTTTCTTCGTCTAAGTGGTCTCCTATAATATCCCATCCTTGTCCAAAGCGTGGTCGGTTTGGAATTTGTACATGTGGCGGGACGTCATTGGCTGAATACGGAAACGAATCTCGGTTAACCAATAGAAACTGGTTTCAGATCTTTACGTTTGGCGGCGCTTCTAACTGAAAAAACTGTTTTTTGTATCTCCACTTGCGAATCCTTTACTTCCTTCGTGATTGCCGCCGATCAATATATACCATAGTTATAGCTAATCTTTTTCTTTTAATTATATAGCTATATCACAAACCAAAATTATAAAATCATGTCTCGTTTAGTTACTCAGTTATGCTCTTAGTGCACTTTACAGAGATCAGGATGCATTATTTATAGTTTTCGAAAACTGCATACGTAAGAACATATTTGTGTATAGTGTTTTAGTATACTGCCCAAAAACTATTTTAACCGTTTCATTGTGAAAGTATGAATCACGCCAGACGAGGATGAGGCACAAGCTGAGAGTGAAACACCCAAATGAGAGTGAAACACACGTTAGATATATACGTTCACACATTTATATTTTACACAGCATATACAAAACTTTAAAGGTAAAGAGAGATGAACAGCCTGGGGGTCCACCTCGTAGATCATGTGGGTCCAACTAGCGATCATGTGAAGAAATCCTTTGATGCATCGATGGGCCAACCTCAGAGCATCACTTCTCAGCTTTTCTCATCACCATCAGCAACTTTTCTGTCATTATTCAAATTTCATATTATAGATCTATACATATCTAATTATTTATATATTGCCATTAGCATATAACACATGTACATAACAAATTGTACATACCCTTCTTTACACTTTTCCCTCACATGAATCCATCTTTTTGTTCTTTACTTACTATTTCTTGCTTTCACACACATTTATAAACTAACCATAGACTCTTCTTTCATATGTTATGGTACTCCTATATACATTTTTATATGTTATAACAAATAAGATAGCATATTATATTCCCAATTGAGATCATGAATTGAAAATAGTTTAACTGGTTAAAACTTGGTTTACCCGGCTAGCTGGTTCTATATGGGTTACCGCTTTATAGCGGTTTTTATCGGTTTTCCGGCCCAGTGAACATCCGCTTTTAGAGTATAAAACCAAATCGATTTTCACCACGATACGACGTCGTCGTCAATAATTACCACAAAAACCTCACAAAACCTCTTCCCTTCCCGACTTCCCTCCTCCGTCTCTCGTCTGCTCCAGAACAGTACAACCATGGTCGACGGCGAAATCGGAATCCTACGCGGTTACGAGCTCCGTCTCCTCCGGTGCACCGTCTCTTTACCACCTTCAGATCCTCCTCTAGAATCCCAATCCGGGACCCACCAACACGACACTCTTATAAGGTCCCTTCTGTCTTCAATCGAGTCTGGAGACTATCTCGGAGCTCTAGACTCCGATGCTGCTAAGGCAATTCTCGGAGATGCCGAGCTGGACCTGGTCGACTCTGTTGATTCCGCCGAGATATTCTACTCAGAGCTTCTCGACAAGGTCGAATCGTTCGTGGTGAACGGCTCTCCAGATAACATCGAGAAGGCTCGCCGCGCGATTCTGGTGATGTGCTTAGCAATCGCAGCTGCGCTTTGGTTCACTCGTTGCAATCTGACCGGGTAAGCTAAGATTTATGAGCTTCCAATGTTGAAATCTCTGTCCGTCACTAGAAAATATGATTTTCTTTTCTCTAAAATCATCTGAGAGAATTGAGTTTTTTTGGTTATTGAGAAACTTCAATGAGCGTTTTTTTCTTTGTAATCCAAATGTTAGGCCAACAGACGGATCAACAAAGTGTTCGTTGCCGTTTCAAGTATCAGAGAGTAAAGAATTAGTCGAATGGGAGAATTGGGCAAAGATTCAGATCATGTCTGTAGGCTCTGACTTGCTTGGGAAGTTTTCTAATCTCCAGGTACAATATTCGTCTGCTTATTCAATTCCATTGCTTTGTGAATTGTCTTCGTCTGTAGTGAACTCTCTACTTTCTTTTTCCTGCAGCACTTAGTGTTTGCGAGATTAGTGCTGTTGAAGTTGAAAGATCTCTTGTTTGAGTCAACTGCAACTGAAGCATTTGAAGTAAAGAGTATGTCATGGTGGCTAGTCAGAGTTTTACTTATTCATCAGAGAGTTCTACACGAGCGGTCTTCGTCTCTGTTTGATATGCTGCAAGTTTACATGGCTGAAGCTCTAGACCATTTTGGAGGACTGGAGAAAGTGGAAAGCTACTGGTCTGCCGAGTTGATACAGGACGAAGTTTCGTCCATAACGGCAACCATTCATCTGGAAGCATGTGTGTTGCAATACGTATATGGAAGGATTGATTCCTGTCAGTAAGTCATCGTTGCCCTTGATTGCTTCTTACATGTTTATAGCTTCTTGTGGTTGGATATTAACCAAACTACTCTGGTCTCGCTTCATGGTTTCCTTTTTAAAAAGTAATGAGAGGCTTCATATTGCTATAGTATAGTGGGCTTGATTCAAAGTAAAATTTGTCAGGTTGCAGCTAGAATCTGCTAAAGCAGCAGCAAAGCTTGAGTTCTCTGTTAGTGGGGCTCTTGGATTTCGTACTATTCACCAAGTAAGCTATGAGATATATGTATTTTTTATTATATGTGTTTGGCTTTGTTATTCTAAATTCCTCTGATATTGTTATAGGTAGACCCAAAGCCACAATTGGTATTGATAGCTAATACTAGCTCATCAAATGGGGACGTGAGGTTGGCCTCTGAGAAAGCTGACGTTGGACCTTATGAAGCTTGGGGAGTTGAAGCACCTGAAGTATATATGACTCCCAAACTAGTGAACGGTGATAGTGAAGCTGGCAAAGAGTCTGTGCCCTTAAAACCAGTCGAACAAGCACTGATTTTGGCTCAGTGCCTTTTAATTGAAAGGGGTAGTCGACACGATGAGATGCAAAGTAAGTGAGCTCGAATTCAAGTGCACTTGAAATGTTCAATTTCGATGCTAGATAGAGAGCTTTAGGTGCCCAAATTTAGTTGTGACTGCAATTAAGGATGCTTAAAGGTTCCCATTACCTCGCTGGAAAATAACTACAGATGTTGTGAAGGATGTGCTGAATTGAAGTAAACTATAGCCTTTACCTTTATTTATACTTTCTAATACTTTTTTTGAGCAGGATGGGGTATGGCTCCATATATAGAGGCAATTGATTCGCAAGAGTCGCCATATTTTGCTGTAAGCTACAATCTTTTCATTTGTTTAATTCTTTTAAAGTGACCGGTTTTGAAATGTTGATGACTAGAGCTGTTGGTGTTTTTATCTCATCACAACCTATGCAAGTGAGACAACTGACTTACTTTTGTTCTTTGAACATGCAATTAGCTACGGTGTTTCTGTGACTTACTACGTGTCCGTTGGGAATCAACTCGAAGTCGTACAAAGGGACGTGCCCTGGAGATGATGGATAAATTGGTAAGGTTCACCGTTTGTCTTCCTTGCTGAAACACACTCATTTTATCGCGTCCGTCAATGTAGCTGTGATAATTGTCCTCTTATCAGGTTGAAGCTATCAACAAGAGCGATCCTGGAGCATCGAAAAGGGTCCCTTTATTTTACGCAACCCATCTTCCTACCATTCCTGCTTTGAGAAAGTACGTTATCTTTGCATGTACAGAAAATACAACTCTTTTTTTTTTTAATTTTGGTTTTCCTTCTTGTCTTACTCGTTGTTCTGTTTTGAAACAACAGGGAATACGCTGAACTTCTGGTTAGCTGTGGTTTGGTTGGGGAAGCAATCACAATATTCGAGAGCCTAGAGTTGTGGGATAATCTAATTTTCTGTTACTGGTAAAGTAAAAAAATTGAATACTGCTTTGTGATGAATTCAGCTTCACTTCTTTTTATCCTTTTCCCTTTATGGCTTATATGTTCTGCTGCGAAGCTTACTAAGCAATGTGAAATTTCAGCCATCTGGGAAAGAAATCAGCGGCTGTAGAACTCATCAATACGAGCCTTATTGAACGGCCAAATGACCCAAGATTATGGTATTTTAATCTCTGATAGTTTTATCTGTTGTTCGTGTACCTTTTAATCTTTTTGTGAAGCGCCGTAGTTATCTGTCTTTAACCTATATTAAGTTAAATTCAATGCTTAATATTGGTTTCAGGTGTTCACTTGGTGATGTTACGAATAATGATTCCTGTTATGAGAAAGCTCTGGAAGTTTCAAATGATAAGTCAGTTCGTGCTAAGGTAGTTTGAAACACATAACAGAAAAATCTTACATGTCCTCCTCTCTTTGCCCACGCTCTAATTATATCTCCATCTTGCAGCGGGCTCTTGCTCGTAGCGCATACAATCGTGGTGATTTTGAGAAGTCGAAGATGCTGTGGTATGTTGAACATTTTGGATCTATTTACTCCTAAGAAGGAAATGGATATATGTACTTGACCATTCACTCTGATTTACAATGTCTCATCTCTTCCTCTACTTCAGGGAGGCTGCAATGGCCATGAATTCTCTGTACCCCGATGGTTGGTTTGCTCTCGGTGCTGCTGCATTGAAGGTATCTTACTCCATCTTCTCCAATAGTTTAGTAGCAATATCTTTCCATTCCAAATGTCATTAGATTAACAACATATAAATTCTGTTCATGCTGGCTAAGAGGGGTACTAATATAATATCTCTTCCATTATACCATAGGCCAGGGATGTTCAGAAAGCTCTCGATGCATTCACTTTTGCTGTTCAACTTGATCCTGACAATGGAGAGGCCTGGAACAACATTGCTTGCCTGTAAGTACTTCGGTTTCACTATTCTGCTTTGTGCTGAAATTGCTGAGAAAACTAAACTGTTTTTCTTTCTTTCTTTCACGCATGCCTTGCTAATTAACTTCACGACGACTCACTGCTCACTTACTTTCACATTTACTATCTGAATGCGTAATAATTTGTGGGTGCAGGCATATGATTAAGAAGAAGAACAAAGAATCATTCATCGCTTTCAAAGAAGCGCTCAAATTCAAGTACTGTATCTCTCTTTCCCTTACCATTTGTAACTTGAGATGATAAATTCATAAAGTTGGTAATTCTAAAAATCGTGTATCAACAGGCGAGATAGCTGGCAGATGTGGGAGAATTTTAGTCATGTAGCTATGGATGTGGGAAATATTGATCAGGTAAAAGCAGCTAATCACTCAAGATTTAAAGATTCAGCCCTCGTATAAATAACTTTAGCTTAGAAGTTGGACGAGTTGGTTTCATCTGTGTTTTTTTTTCTTTTCTTCCAGACCTTTGAAGCTATACAACAGATACTGAGAATGAGCAAAAACAAGAGGGTTGATGTTGTTTTATTGGACCGTATAATGACAGAGTTAGATAATAGGAATTCAGCATGCAAGTCATCGACTGAAATCGAAGCTTCTTCCGATGAATCAACAGAAACAAAATCGTGTTCTGCAACACAGGCTGAAACTCAACGCCATCTAGAGTTGCTTGGCAAAATTATTCAGCAGGTTAGCTAAACATTTCAACTAGTAGTATAAGTGTATAACTAACTCATTCTCTGAGAGTGATAACTCTTGGCAGATGCATTTGATATAGTTTTGTATAACCCTTTATGTGATTTACAGATTGTCCGAACAGAAAGTACGTCTGAAATCTGGGGATTATATGCAAGATGGAGTAGAATCAAAGGAGATCTTATGGTGTGCAGCGAGGCACTGTTAAAACAAGTGCGATCATATCAGGTATTACTGATCAATCGAAGCCACTCTTGGATCTATGAGCAGCCTTCTCAGTTCCATTTGATGACATATTGATATCTCTGTCTCTCTCAGGGATCAGAAGTGTGGAAAGACAAAGAGCGTTTCAAGAAGTTTGCAAGAGCATCATTGGAACTTTGTAGAGTCTACATGGAGATCTCAGAGTCGACAGGAAGCAGACGTGAACTCTTTAGTGCTGAGATGCATTTGAAGAACACAATCAAACAAGTAAAAACCAAACTTATCACTAATTGATTTCCACAATACTTGCTAACCTTTTTTTTCTGTCGGAAGGAGTAGAATGAATAAATGGCGGCTTATATGTGTGTGTGTGTAGGCTACAGTGAGCTTTTCGGACAGTGAAGAGCTGAAGGAGCTTGAAAGTTGCCTTGAGGACGTGAGAAGTGTTATGCAGAAGAGTGAAGAGACTACAAATCTAAAAACATGAAAGAAGAAATAGACTTGTAACACTCGTCATCATAGGTTAGTCTTGAACCAGAGCCTACTCGGAAAATGTAGTCTTTGGTTTCCGAGTGTTGTAACAATTCATCATTTTTGCTGTTTGGGACAAAGACGATCTTGAGATCATGAATTAATGGTTATTTTGTCGGTTCGACGAGTTTTGAGTATACATGTTTCTGAAATTCGTTTGGACTGCTTTACATTCATCAGGAGATGACTTTTTAACCAGAAGTTCCTTCATACTTATTCTTAACATGCCGTGCCGTCTCACATGTAGAAGTAAAAATGCGTGTCGCTTAGCTCTAAATCCAGTTTTTGGGCGCTGTTTGGCTTATTTTCTAGCAATAATAGCATGACACGTGGTTCTAACCATACGCAGAGAGAAATCAATTTTGACACGAAATCGCACTAAAGAAAATTCGAAAAAGAGGGCCAAATCTTATTTTTTAATCTATGCGTATGGTTCTGTTGCATCATCGTCTTCTTCCCCATCCTCGAATCTCCATCGCCACGTCGCCGGTTACCAATCATCGTCGAACAAGCCTTCACATTCACGATGTGCTTTTGAGCATGAGATTCGGATTAACGCGAGCTCTCCCTCTGAAACGATCTTTCGCCTGCTATTCCATCACTTCCGGATCTAAATCGCCGGCCACCATGGCGACCAAGAGCGAGAATCTCGTAGAGACTTTGACGGAGGAGAAAGATAAGGGAGAGGAGGATAAGAAAGAGGAGGTTTCGCTCCCTCCGCCGCCTGAGAAACCAGAGCCTGGCGATTGTTGCGGTAGCGGCTGCGTCCGATGCGTTTGGGATGTGTATTACGATGAGCTCGAAGAATACAACAAGCTTTCTTCTCCTTCAATTTCTGGAGAAACCAAATCCACCTGAATTAAGATTTTTCGCAAAAGCTTGTTTGTGTCGATTTGTTGCTGGGAAAATTAAACGATTTGTATATTGTTGATTTTGAGCTGTGTTTTATGATGAACATTGTTAAGGAACAAATGCAAAATGAGTAACGAATCAATCAAATATTTCTAATATTTTCTACTTTTTGAGTTCTGCTTCTATCAGAGATAGAACAAAGTACCCCGTTGTAGTTGTATATAACAAATTGTTGATCCTTTTGACTTCTAAGATCCAAAACGAGAAAAACAATTTGATGAAAATTCACAGGATCGATTGAAACTGCAGAAGCCTTTTTACCTTTGAGGAGCTTTGACAAGAACAGAGATATGGAGATAGAATTCTGGGTTCATCAAGTTATTTACCACCCACGAAAACGGTATCTCTAGTTTCGTTTCGATCCCTTGGATCCTGACCAGCTTGATTTCACTCCTCTCCGGCGAGCCGACAGCTTCTTCTGATTCGTCCTTGGCTATTTCTTCACCATCTTCTCCACTCGTTTGAGCTCTTTTTTCAGTGAACTCCGGGAGGAGAGATTCAATGGCGTCGCGTAATGTAAAGCATTTCCCTGACAAGAGAGATTCAACAACATTTGAAGCTTTGGGTTGATCGATAGTGTAACAGCTATGTGCTAGAAAAATAGATGAATTTTTTACCTTCTTCTCTGAGGAACTCAACAGGGCGATTTAGGTATAAGATGTCGTCCCAGGTATCGATCTCAGGTACATCTTCAAGATTCTCGAAGTCTTGATTTATACTCCGAACATACAACCGAACAGGAATTCTTGCTGAGAAAAGGTGATTGCACATCAGAAAAATCAGGACACTATTACTCTGTATCATCTTGGCCAGCATTGAAACAGATGCACCAGTCTGAGTATAGAGTTGGCAAACCTGTCTTAACTTGTCCAGCCACGTCAGCCTCAGTCCCACCTTGTCGAGATTGTGGAGACGACGAGCTTGTTTTTCCTGAAAACTCGTCTTCGATAGTTCCCATTTTAAGCTTGGGTGATAGTCTTGTGTAGGCATCAAGATCACCTGCAAAACCATCAGTTTACAGATATGCTGTAACAAGAATGATACTGGATATGCGATTTAACATTATTTTTCTATGTCTAACATCCACTCGTACCGTTCATGACAGAGGTCCACAGATCTTCTTGGTCACTCTGAGACATATTCATAACATTCTTGCAGTTTCCATTGATGATATACGCCGCCTGCAGGATAACATTATTTTAAACATGTACAAAGCTTCCAATCATTAGCAGTTTGTCTGTCTTATGATCAAGAGTAAAGCATTGTTAAAATAGCACACAGAAGAAGCCTATGGCTATTCCACTAGGTAAAGACCAATAAAAAGAGCAACATTTGTGAAGGTAACAAAAAAAAACTGTCAAAGAGATTATGACTAACCTCTTTCAGAGAGTTAACAAAGTTCCATTTTACAGAATCTTCTCCTTCACATGGTATCAGTATGTTGCTCGGATATCCTCTAAAGTGTATCTGCAAACAAAAATTCTGAAAAGCTCAGGAACTGCAAAGATAAAAAGGAGGTAAGTCTTTTGCATGCTACTATTCGAGAGGGACTGATGAAAGATCAACATTTTATCATACTCTGACTATCATACATAGTGGCGCCCAACAAAGAGGGATTACACGAAATAAGAGAATGACATAGTGGATCACTAAAATTGTTTAGCTTACAGGATAATTCAGTGTTCAATCTGCATCTTAAACACATCCACTAATAACATCTCTCAAACAGAAGCTGGTTGAACATTAGAGAAGAAAAAATACCGTGAGATTCCAAGGTCTTTCTGGTTCTGCGCATAGGAGATCGAAAAGAACGCCTGTTGGTATGTACCTGCAACCAAAGAAGATTCACCTCTCAGGTATGACGACGTAAGATATCACAAAGAAGAAGATAAAACAGTGGTTTCACCATTATACTAACAGATGAAGAATTGCGTACCATTTGAGAGGAAATCCTTTATAGTCGAACCAGATGGAATCTTCCCCAGGAGGAAGTGACTCCTTGAAGTAAGGCTTTATTAGAGCAACTAACAGAGGCAAATATCCTAATCTTGGTGCTAACACCTGAAAATGCGAAAGCGAGAATTTCAGAAATTCCCCACCACAAGTATACTCTTATCTCGAGCTTAACATTACACGATTCCGTCTGTCAAATCCAATTCCTCAAAGCAAACTGCTAAAATTCTTCCTCGTTTTCTATGCACTATTACATATTGATAATCAAAATCGAATCATTCAAAGTAAAACCCTAAACCCGAACTCGATCATGATCATGATCCAGTACCAAACACCAGAGAATTCCGTAATCGATTTGAAAAAATCAAAAGTCAAAAGAGAAAGCTCGGGAAGAGTGTTTACAAGAGCAGGAGGAGGAGCAGGGTGAGAGGCGACTTCAGATTTATGGAGATGAATCTGCAGAGGAATTGCTCCTTCCCATACAAACTTGACCGCTTCATTCGCCATTCTCGTCTCCTACGCTTCCGTCACAGCTTCTGGCTTGGCAATCCGGATTCAAAAACGACGCTGTTTCCTTTTATTATGACGTCATCTTTCTCTTGCGTACGCTATGTTGTATCAGGCGTACGTTAGAGCAAGCCCATCTCAATTTTTTTGGATCCAAACAAAACCAAAACCGACCTGGACCGGATAAAACCAGCTTCATTAACTTTTTGAAAACCATAGGTCTAGCATAGATTGGTTTTGTTTGGTTTTAATTTCGGTTAAACACACTGCTTTGCTTTTAGTATTCGGTTTCTAATTTCTACAGTATTCAATTATAACACTGGTTTTCAACTTGGTTAGATTATCCGGTTAAAGACCACTATCATCGTTGCTACTGTTGCTCTATTTCATTCAGTTGTTGTTGGTAATGAATAACCTCACCAATTTCGTCTTAATCTTCAAACTGAAGAAAACTCTTCACCAGACCAATCGGAAGTATATTGAAGAGAAACCCAAAGTTGCTTGAAAACGAACTTTCTTTTTGTTTGAACACATCAACAAATATCTCATAATCATTAGATTATAAAATTGTACAAGAGTTACAAATTTGGCCTAAACAACAAACAGCTCAAAGAAAACAATGAAACAACAACAAAAAGATGACTTTGATGGAACATTTATAAGTTGAATGAATATTGAATCTAAAAACCTTTTTCTTTTGAGTATATGAGAAGAAAATGTCCTAAGTTATAAGTATTGGCGAATCTGTTGTTGTTCTTCCTCTTCCTCTATAACCATCTTTCTCTTTTTGTACGGACCAAATCCTCTTGAATTTGACTCAGAGCTTGTTCTTCTGAGCTCAGAGAATGCAGACCTCTCGCTAGGTTTAAACTCCCATTGACACACCATTGTTTCAGGCTCTGAGTTCTTGTCCGTGTGTCCTGTATCATCCACCGAACCAGTGTTTGATCCAGTCGATGATCCTTCGTTTTGGACAGCCTTCCCTGAATCTAAACATCTATTCTCCACTTCTTCTTGCTTGGGAGGAACTTCTATCCAACTGCTCATGAGCTCTTCTTGTATGCGGAATGTTTCGGATCGAGAAAGCTTCCGTGGCAATGGCTGAATCGGGGTTTTACAATAAGTTGAAGTTGTTAGAGAAGAGGACATGTCTGAATCACATACCAAAACTGTCTTCCCAAAAAGTTTAAGGCTTTGCTTCGTTGGTTCCTTGATCGAGCTCTCTCTTGGAAACAACTCCAGCTTCTGTACAAATTGATCAAACAAAGGACGTTAAAAACTAAGCCTCTAATGGCGGGTAATGTTGTTAAAATCGAATGAATGGTTTTTGTTAACTACCAGAGATTCATCAAGCTCTTCAGGTGCATTTGAACTAGTTGTAAGAGCAGGTGGTGGTGATGCAGAAGAAACCGGGGACAAGCTTCGATTCGGTGAATGCGAATCAGAGGAAGCCAAGTATTCGTCTCCAACAGTGGACAACACAGAGGTTGGAGAAAGGTTGTCTCGTTCTGAGGGAGAAACCGATCTGCTTGTTTGATCTGCATCGTTCCCAAACTTACGAGGGTAAGGATGCATTGGTTTTCTCTTGGGACGAGGAGGTGGTATCACAATTGGCTCTAGCGAGCTCCCATTAGTACCTCCAGTTGCTTCTCTAGCAACCTGTGTGAATACAAACAGAACAAAGCTAAGTCAAAACACAAGTCCCCAAAACAATGTATGTACAAATGATCCCTTTTTTAAGCAGTCTTTGATACTTTTTGATAACAAGGCAAATAAGTGTATAGACCTTAGAGAAAAACTTCTGAGCATGGCTTCGAATCTGAACAGCAGTCTTTGTGCCCACATGTTCTGTTAGTGAAAACAAACGTATTTTTGGATGGTTCAGGATTGTATAGATCATACATAAACTCAGTAGCAAGTTGATAGATATTATAAGATCATTCATTTTTACCTTCAATTCGTCTCCATGCTCGTCCGTATAGTTTCAAGGCTTCAACAAACTTCTTGTGCTCTTCATCTGTCCATCTCTCTCTTTCTTTTGTTATCGTGTATGGTTTCCGTACCTAATAGATGAAAGATGAATTTTAGCCAAAGATCTTCACTTTACAGAACAATATTGACATTAAGATGTGAAGAAAGAAACAAAACCTTGGGGGCATAGTCATTTCCCTCGAAAACTTGGTCACTGAATTGTATCTGCTTCTCTGCAGTTTCTTCAGCTCTGTTCCTCAAAGGAGCTTTGGTACCCTGAAACCATCACCAAGCAAAAGGCCTTTTAGGATACATCACACAACTTATATGGAAAGTTATGTACTTTAAACAAAGTGGCATTGAACCGTTTACTTTCTTCTTCAGTTTCTCAGTGTACAATCATTCCCAAAATCCAAAGGATTCAACTTTATTTGGAGATACTAAATTACATTTGCACAAACACAATTCGCTTGCATACTCACGAGTCCTTCTTAATAACCCAACCCCAACCCAGTACTACACCCATTTCAAGGATTCACAAGAATGTAGTTGCAAACATAAAATCATAGCTCAGAAGCAACAAGAGTCTACAAATGAATTACTATACTCAGGTGCCGAACAGGCTAAACTCTAATTTGAAGCTTTTTAAACTATTCTTAACTCGGAGATTAATTAGCTAATCTGAATAAGCAGATAACGAGATTTGAGACCAGACCTGAACATTTGCAGTCAACGGAGACGAGGCCATGGCTTCCCAGGATTAAGATATCGCCGGAGGAAAAAAAAACTCGAAGACGTGGATCGGAAAAAGGAGGAAGCAAACCGGAAACGTTGAATTCGCGAATCTGGACTTCGAAACAGCTTAATTTCCAAAGTTCTCTGTGCGTTTCTATAGATCCCACAAATTGAATCGATTCATCTCTTCTCCAGTTAGACGACGACAAACGATTAGCTTCTGGAATCAGGACGAATCTACAGTAACCTTTCACCTGCCGGAAAAATTCCCAGCAAACCGGAGATTTTTAGGTTCGGTTAAAGGAACAAAGCAAAAAGAATCTCTCACTGTAGATCTTAAGCGCAAAGAAAACAAGAGAAATAAGAAGAAAGTCGGAAATGGAATTCTCAGAGATTGTCGGAAAACTAAGCTCGCCGGATTTGGGGAAGAAGGAAGGAGCAAATGAAGAAAGCAGAGAGAGAGAAGAAAAGTGTTTGGGGTCTGTGGACGAAAGAATTGGAGGTGAGAAAATAGGAAGACAAAAGGGGGGATGCCACGTCAGTTTCTGGTATGTGCGCTTTTTCAATTTTCAATTTCTCTTTTATTTTTCCCGTTATTTTATTGGTTTTCCATGGAACGCTCGAGAAACAGATGCAATCTTGTGGCTCACGTTCAAAGACCACCACTGACACGTGTCGCTCGTGGACGTCGTCACTTTCCAGATTTTTTATATTTTATATACAAAAATAGTAGATTTATCATGTATCATTGCCTGCCTCTCCAGAAAATACAGTATATCATACTGTTGTATTAATTTTGTAATGAATCTACTTGTTTTAAAACAGTTAGATTCGTAGAAAACATTAAAGGATATAGATCTGGCGCACATTTTTTTGTATGTTTAGTTATTTCCCATATATATTTTTGTATATTCAAATTATGGAAAATATCATGAAATATATGCGTAGACCAAAATAGAAAAAAAAGAGAAGATTTTGCTGGACGGAGAAATGTGAGCCACCAGTAGATACTTAAAGCAAAGATATGAGGCCAACTCGCGAGAGTGTGAGTTTGTGCTTACTCGCTATTATCTTGCTTCGTCATGTTCATGGGTTTACACTTCAAGAGCTATTTTTTTTTTTTGGACAACACTTTATTTTCTTGAGCAAAACAAAATTTAGCATAAACCTAATAAAAAAATGTCACTTAAGACTTAACACAAAATTTTATACAGTACTAAGATTTACCGAGATTTCAACTCGGTATAATACATGTTGACAAAAAAAAAAAACTTCAGTGAAATAAACTGAGAGGGCCATGATTTCTCCTCAAAAGAAAATCCAAATCCAATTCCAAAATCAAATGAGATATTTTGCATCTTATATTTTTTCCGTTTTTGTTTCCGGCTTCTGTACTTTATTTTACGAGAAAAACCGAAATATTGAAGCTATATATCTTTTGCCTTGAAAAAAATACCTGATGTGGGTACGAAAGCATAGATAGATACGCAGTTACGCACCATATGAATAAGTTACAATATATGGCAGATTCGTATCGATGATATTTATAATTGTTGTCAACTTCTTTCGTATTAATATGGTTATCCATTGTCCAGGTCGTAATCATTTTTCATAAATGTGTAGATAATTCATTAAATCTTTTTAAAGCTGATAGGATAAGAAAATATTCTTAATTGTAAATCATTCCGGATGGAAGTGAAAGTTACACTTAAAATTAAAATACAAATAATTAGGTGTAGTATATTTGATGCACTTTTATCCATGTCACTGATTCTTAATTTAGCCGACTGTTCAACAAAAAATAGACACGTGGAACGAAAGCAAGGATGGTTCTAGACCACTTGTTTATTTATTTATCTATACTAGCGTTCACCGATTTATTGATATTAGACAAAACATCTCAGCCACAAATTTCCCTTCTCGTTTTGCCTTAGCACTCTGGGTTTCAAAGAGGAGAAAGTGGTTGGTGTGTGGCTGTTGTCTACTTAAAGTATTTTTGTTTTTGTTTTTCCTGCCGTCTCTACTAAAACTATTAATTTTTACCATATTTTGATGCAATAAATCCTGTAGTGGAGACCATGCACATTTGTCTAATATGTCAATCATCAGTAGGAATTAAACCCACCTTTCAAAAAAAAAAAGATAAGCTAAATTCAGTAATGTGAATCGGCAGATGGCAGAAAATGTATTTCTCAAAATGTTCAAAAAAATGTTAAGCAAATAGTAGGCGTAAGATAAATAAAATAACTAATAACAGATACTCCATTGTAGCTAATAAATCAAGGGAGCTAGCTAGGATGGATCAAAAGGCAGAGTAAAAAGAGTACTCCATGAGGAGTTTACACTTTCTAGGGTTAGGCTTGGTGCTGGAAGTTAGGTACTGGTCTACTGGATTGTTTGATGAAGTCACCATTGTGATACTGATAATTTTCCTTCTCTTCAGCACCGTGCATTTATGTTCGGCCAAATTTTGTTAACAGTATTATATTATTTTTGTCCGTAATCATTATAATACATAATCTTTTGAGATATCGTTGAAACATTTTATTTTGGAAGGTAAGACGTTCAACTGAAATATGTTAACTTAAGATGGTTTTGGCATTAGCAGAAAAAAAAAAGCATGGAGACTTACGAATCAATTTATTTAGTGAAAGAGAAAAAGAATGGTGGCCTGGTGGGTGGGTCCAGATAGTTGGGAACCATCACAATCCATTTCTACAAGCTTCTACGATATTAAGTTATTAACTATGTGGTTCATATTTCTTCGCCCACATCGTAATGCCGCTTTATAGCCAAACGGGATAAAAGGAAGAAAGAGATATTCATTTGAAGTAAAGGCCTGTGACTTTGTGACAATCAGTGTGAATGTTCTGACAAAGAAAACAGAGAATGAAAAGATGTGTGGCGCATAAAAAAGCCAGACCGGTGACTGTTTACGGACCAACCGTATAATTTATGTCTCATGATATTTCGTATTTTCTTTCCTTTTGGATTATCTGGTCGTAGAAACAATTTGGGACAGTTGGCGCACAATATTGTACAAATGCTGGTTGTAAATTTAAGATAATATAACGTTAGTATTTTTGTTTTTGTCAACAATACAAATTAGTATCTAAAATAAGGTGATGAATTTTTAAGAAAATAAAACTGCAGATTTATCAAAAAGAAAATAAAACTGCAGAACAATGTGGTCTTACGACTACAAAGAAGAAGAAAAGGTTTATACGTATTAAAAAAGTTGGCCTAACGGCTCCCAAATTCACATTTTTATCCACAATAGATAAAACTAGTATTTTATCATTGAAATTACTTGGAAGCAAAAAGACCACACAAAAACTGTGATCACAAGGAAAGATAACTTCAACACAACACCATACTGTCAATTTACGATGATATATTATGCTCCATACACTTCAAAATTTTAATATATATCAATCAAAAAGAGTAGATTATCCAAAAAGAGTACATTATCATCAATAAACAAAAGGAAAAACTCATGTAATGAAGAGAAGAAAATAGTAAATTTGAAAACGTACTTTAAGGGGGCTAAGCTGCAAACAAACAAACAAACAAAATTCTCGTTATTCTTGTGATCTATTCACTTTATATAAATTTCATCAAAAGTGCTTTCTTATATTAGAGAAGAGGAAAACAGAAGAAGACGCATCAAACTTCTTTAAATTTCTTCACAAATCCTCTGGACCGTTGATGTCCTGTTAGAACAAAAAAGGAGAAGTTGAGTCGAGTGTTACATAGAAGATATGGGAACGAGATATGCAGAGAAACACGTGTAGAGAGTAAATAAGGAAACATAGAGGCGACAACATAAGGAAGTCAAATTGAACAAGGAATTTCTGTTTGTTTACAACCAGGAACTGAAAATTACCATGTTTTTTAAGCCCTTTCCTTTCTCATGAAATCAGTACATGTGTGTTCTAGAGCTGGGATAGATTTTAGATTTTTTTTTTTTTTTTTTTTTTAAAAATATGTCTGCAAGTGGTTGCTTGAGAAAATTTGCATGTACTTGTAACTAACCAAAGTATTTTAATACATGGAAATTTCACTGAAAGTGACTGAGAGTTTTACTCACAACTTCTCCTGCTTCTTTCCCGAGAGTCAGAAGGCTACGCTCTTTTGAAGTTTAAGATACGAAGAAATCATATCAAAGTAAACTATATAGAAATTGTTAGTTTACATTGATATGATTTAGATATTTGGAAGGTAAGTATGATATTTTCTGTGTTTCGAAAATCTTTAGAAATCATTCTCAAAGACCCAAATCACAATTCCACTTCACAAAAACTATCCAAAGTTTTGATATCAAACTAAAATTTTATACAAACAAAACAATTTAAAACGGTAAATTCAAAATACAACTAAATCAAAATACACATGTTTTTTTAACTCTATAAAATTTGATAAAAAAATCTGAAGTAAATCAATGTTATTAATTTTTTTAAAAGTGAATATATCTCACGCAAGGCGTGGGAAATCACCTAGTTTACATGAAGATGAAATTTGAAATGAATACTGGTAGTGAAGATCGAGAGCTTACTTTGGACCAGTGCAACCCATTGTCGTTTTTAAGGTGAGGCCCAACACATTGAGGGGAGTAACATCCAGACACCTACTGATAAGACCCTTGTTCCTTATGATAAATTCAAACCTTAAAACTCATCAAATTTCCTAAAATCTAAATATCCATAAGAACAAATCATCCATTTTTATCAACTCTTCATCCCCTGTTAATTTGTCTGATGTTAGGCAATTTAATTCTTCTCCTTCCCTCTCCCTCCTCACTCCAACTTTCTTGGCAAATTGTAGGGCTTTGCGCATGGAGTTACGAGAACATGCATGTTGGTGAGGGAGGACAACTTTGGCCAACTTTTCTTCAAACTTCACTTGACTTATGTTCTTACATGCAAACATGGGAGATAGTGTTACATAGTTTGGATCCAAACCATGTAGCACTTTTACGGCTAAGAAAGTTAGCCACCTGTTTATCAACAAAAA